AGCGCGCTTGGATAGCATCATAAATTAATTATATATTTATTAGGGCTGTGCCGATATTAAATATCGGATCAACGCCGATATTTAGCATTTTCCAAAAATATCGGATCGGGCCGTTACCTGTAAAAACCGATCCGATCTTTTTACTTTTTTTGTGTTATTTAATGTATATTTATTTTACATAATATTCTCTAAATAATTTTTTTTAAACAATGCAAATGCACAACACCCCTTTAATTTTATTTATTTTTTTAGATTTATAGTATTTTAAAAGTTTTTTTATAAAAATAGAAAGGAACACCCAAAGTTTTATTTATTTTAAATATTTGTAAATAATAACGCCAATTTTATTATTTATACTTTAAATAAAAGAATTTTTTAAAATATGGTATCTGAATTATGGAAATATTTTACAAAAGACAAAGATAATTTTGCAAAATGCGTTATCTGCGGAATTCTAATTTCACGGGGAGGAATAATGAAAAATTCATTTAATACTACCAATATCAGTAAACTTTTTAAAATTATTGTAGAAATAATTCTATTTTTTGCATAAAAAATATTGATTTTAATTACATTTGGTTCAAAGGGTAGGGAGGGGGGTGAAAAATTAATATAAATATCAGATCGGATCGGTGAAAAATATGTGTATCGGCACAGCCCTAATATTTATATTCTATTTTATATAAATTTATGTATAAATATATATTTTTACTTATGGTTTTGATGAATTAATAAAAATAAAAAAGTTATTTGAAATAGTTGAACATAATCTCATTTTTTGGTAAACTAATAAAATAATATATGGTAAATGTTTTTTAATGAAAAAAATTTAATAAATTAGGTAACTGTCTAAGTTGGACAAAAATCTTGACCCCAGTGGTGCCCAAATTAAACAGGCTTGACTGTATATTTATTTTTTGCAATATATTTCAATTTTTATATAACTTTCTAAATAGCAATTTGATATAATATAAATATAAAAATTTTCCCAAATTCTAGGAAAAACAAAAATTCTCTTATTTTTGCCCATTTTAACGTGCTCCCTATTATTTTTTTAGAGTAATAGAATGTCCCAGCCGCAAATTTTAGGACTAGAACATTGACTCAAGATGTATTAATATAAATAGGCCAATATTAAATATTGATAACATTATGTGAAAATGCATTTTGGTCAATGCATTGCTAATTTAACAATCCACATAGAAACAAGATGTTTAACGTAATAAATGAAAGCATGCTCGATAATAACATGGTCTAATAAGTTATATTTTTCAGGTTATATTTTTAAGATTATTTATATTACCCTTTAAAGCGATTCAATTAAGAAATCAACTAATATTTATACTAATAAATATATTTTTATTGAATTATTCCTATATTCTTCCAGGTTCTGTTTCCAAGCTAATTTAATGTGGTTCCGATATTTTTTACGGTATCAATGACAATAGTGCAATATCGGTGAAGCCATAGTATTTAGAATATATGTTATAATGAAAATAAAGGTATAAGCATTTGTCTTAAAAATTAACCATTTTTTTGTATTATGAAGTTGCCCATACTATTAGTAAATAAGTAGCAGCATGTAATAAAAAATATAAGCCATTTAATATATTATAATAGGAAATGAATCATTTTTTTCATCATTAATATTAATTTAAAATATATTAAGTTACATAGAGCCCTACCGGGCCAACCCCTCAGCCAGACCCGTTGTAACATCAATAATAAAATACAGAGTGGCTATCCCATTAATGGTTAGACATATTCCCGCTATAAAAATTCTTAATATTTTAAATATCATTCATTATCCTATCTAAGAAATCACAAAAAATCCCGAAGAAAAAATAAAAATTTGTACTGTGTATCTGCAACGTTAACCATTAATAATATAAAAATATGGCAATTTGTATATATAACGGAAAATATAAATGATATCAAATTTAATAATGTTATGGGCATTATTAGAATATTAGCATTTATTATATCTTAGGTAAAAAAATTTTAAACAATCAATATGGAGATGATGTGTTATATATATTATCGGGCTATGACAAATTTTATACCAATGCCTTATAAGTAGTCGTTGTTATATAATTAAGCATTTTCAGGTGTTTTAGATAGTAAGAAAAGCTGAATAGGGGGTCCTGTATTTCTTTTACTAGGTGTATTTTTTAAAATGACTTGGTTATCTTCAGGCAATGCAATTAATCACTTCTTATCATCAGAATTAGCTTTATTTAATAATTTTTAAGAATTTATGAATCCCGTATATTTTATATATATCTTGATATCATAAAATCACTCAGATCATGGTCACTCTATGATTATTATATAAATTTATCAGATTAGTCGAATATTTGAGAAATCTTACGAGATTCTGAACATTTTGCATAGAGGGGTAAAAGTGTTGCATGTTGATGAAGCAAACAAACACTATTGAATTATCGTTCCATCGAATTAAAAATATTTAGCCTTTTCAAATAGATAATCATATTAACTTCTTTCCTATTTCGTCATAACTAATTATTTCTAGGGGATTCGAAATTTCTCTTATAGTTCTCCCTGTTATGTAAAATCTAAGGTGTTAAATATTATATAAGCATTAGTATATGATTATTACATTCCGTTTCCTCCCCCAGAAAAGCTGAAATAGAGCTGTATCAACTATTAATATTTTACTATAATATTATTTAAAAATTGTTATATTACTTACATTATACTATTTTATTTTTAATTTTTTTCCTACTAGGCTGTGCAATCCCATATTTATTCTTTATATTATATATTAAAAAATATATTTAAATTGTTACTATCCTTAACACCTCTTCTGTTTAATATCATAATGTATAAAATTATAAATGAAGTCTCGGGAGCCGCGAGTTTAATGGATCTAAGCTTAAATGCAAAATTACATCTAGAAAATAGGATAATATCATATGCAGATGACATAGCTATTGTGTCTTTAAGCATCAAAGAAACGGAAAATCTGTTATACTTACTAAAAAATTTAGTCTAAAAATGGGTTTAAAAATAAATTTTAACAAAACAGTCATTCTTCCTTCCCCTAGTGCAGTCCAAAATCCAAATATCATAATTGGTGATAATATTATTAAGATAGTAGATAAAATTAAATAATTAGGCATATTGTTGGACAACAAGGGCTGCTGTAAAGAAGAATTGAAAATTCGAATACAAAAAGCGAGAGGGGCGTTTTATAAATATATGAAATTTGGAAAACAAAAGAGATTTCTGTATACACCAGATTAATAATTTTCAATTCTATTATAATTCCTATATAATTATTTTGCGGAGATTTATGGGAAATTAATAAAACAGAAAATAGAAGATTACAATCATTCATAAATAAATGCCTCCGAACTATAAATGGCATCTTTTACCCTAAAGTACTATCTAATAATAATTTATGGAGAATATCAAAACACACTCCAATTCATATTACATTAAAAAAACGTCGCATTCAATTCCTAGCTCACATTATAAGGAACTCAGATCAAAATATAGTTCATGACGCCATTACATGGCTCTACACTCATAATAGGAAAGAATACACAAAATATAAATCTTTATGGTATTAAAACCATAAAAGATATTATGGAACTAAACTTAAAAATGAAACAATTTATCAAGTTAAACAACTGCAAAAATTCCATAAAGAAGCTTTTCAGAATCAAAGACAAATATTTTAAATAAAAAATATCTGGGCTTGTTTTTTTATAATGAACTAGTATTTTCTAAACCTTTTCAGGACAAGCCAAAATAGAATTGGTATGCTCTTTAAATTTTTTTTTAAGTATGAATTTACAGTTTTAATTATAAAAAATCAATTTAAAATCAGCCACAACCAACCTTTAAAGTAATTAACTTATACTGTAGTTCTTGGGCATAGGCTCTTTTTTTGTCCCGATCTTTTTCTTAAAGCCTATGGACGTCTGTAACTTTTTTCAAAATGTTGCGCGTACAAGTACGTATGGCTTGCCCACAAACGTGTAGAGGGCTCCTCATATTTTTTTTAAAACTTTCTCTTAAATTAACTTATGTTCCAATTAGATGGAAATGAGGAATACCTAGCGTAGCTCTGTTGTTTATTCAACGCCAGAGGGCATATGCGCTATATATCACGGATCACGGAAATGTAACAAATTTATAAAATAAAATACATTATAATGAAATATTATTTTTTTTTAAATGATAAAAATCAACATACAAATAGAATTAATAATTCTTATTATATAAATATGATTAAAAAAAGTATATAATAAAATTCTCAACTATTTTTATAGTTATCGAAATTTTATAAGCAATAATGGAAATAAATAATTTTATAGATGAAAAAATTTATCGAATATACGAAAAAATAATAGTTTATGTTCATAAAAAATTAAATTAGGCCAATTTTATTTTATAAAGCTAGGTTAACGTTGCATATAAGGTAGTCCTGCAGGTCCCGTCTCGAAAAATAAATGTTATAATATTTTCTTCCTATTCTTCTTTTCCTTGCATGATTGAATTTAAAAATTTTAAAAAAATAAGATGAATTTTTTAATATTCATATTTTAAATAAATAAAATAGATATAATCAAAGTTATTGCTAAATATCCAAATTTAATGCATACCATTAAAAGAATGTGTAAAAATATATTTTGAGTTTGAGATTTCTTCCCTATAAATATTTTTAAGCATCCAGACCACGAACCATAATGGGCCGGGCCTTGATCTTAGAAAAATTTGCCACGAGGCTGCGGGCACTGGTCAAAATTTAGATTTTGCGTCTCTAAAGCTATGTCCAAAACTTTAAAATTCAATATTTCAAACCTTTAACAAATTTTATTTTAACAAGATAGTAAATTTTTGAAATCTACTAATATATATTTTTATTTTTTGATTAAAAAAAGCTTATTTATTTTCTTCGTGAATTATTTTCCTTCAAGTTTTGGACATAATCTCATATACTATATTTAATTTATATCATAATAATATACCGATAATTATAATGATTATTATGATAATGATCCCAGCTAGAATAGCCATCATCTATTGTTTTTTTTAAAAAAAAATATATAAATTAATTAAATCAACATTAATATAAAATTAAATTTCAAATAGATTTTTGAATTATATTTTATAAATGGATTAACTTCAAACTTAAAAAAGTTTGTTCAAGGATCTAACAATTTGATAATATTGTCAGGAATTCATGACATTAACACATAAGAGCGTTATGTAGAAAACCAATTATCACATTAAGTAAAATTATAACAAAAATTTAATTGAAATCTGTTTAATATAAAAATAGGAAATCATACAATTAATAATAAGCTGGGTTTAGCCCATAAATTCTAATGTGTAAAAAATTAGCCTGACCGTTTTTTTAATATTTATTTTGGTTATTATTATATCTTATTATATGTTTATATTTATAAAATATACAATATTGTGAAATAGAGAACAATAATATAAATCAATCCTATCTACTCTGTAAAATATTTCAAACTAACCCGCCTGCCCATTAATTAAAAAATAATTTTTACTCTCTGTCCCTTGTTTAAAATTTTAGCCCCTAAACAGGCCAAATATCCATCCACTTAAACCTCCAATAGGGCCGTATAAAAATAGAAGTAATAAAAAAATAAGATTATAAAATTCTTACAAATATGCTTTATTAATTAAATAAACATGCTTGCATGATGTTTCCTCTTCAGAAATTCTGCCAATTTAAGGTAAAAAAAATTATAATAGAATAGAATGTCAATATTGGACTTGGCAACAATGCAAATGCAGTTCAAAAAATAAAAAATAAATTTTGAAATAATTTCGAACAAGGTTATTAAAAAACTATTTAACTCTTCTAAATACTGAGTACATTCTAAAATAATAAAATGGTTTAAAATCATAGATATTATATATTAGTCTGATCACTAAAGCAATATTAAGGCAAAAAATGATTGATTTTCCTGAGTTTGAAAAAAAATTTTTTACTAATAATCTTTCCATAGACTGATCACTAAAGCTATTAAGGCAAAAAAATGATTAATTTGATTTTCGAGTTTGAAAAAAAATCCTCCAAAAATTTTGAGCAATAATCTTTGGAGATTTTTTTTAAGAAGAAAGATTTTTGATCAAATTTGACATAAAATGTTAAAAATTTTTTGTTAAAAAACTTTTATAACTAAATATTTGTAATTTTAATGATAGAGATTCTAGTTCCAATAAGTTTATATTAAGATATTATGTTTATATGAAATTTTTAGCCGATAATCTTTAACATTAACAACGTCCATAATGTGCTGTTAAATTAGCCTTTAAAAGTAATGCGATACTAGCACCTATATTTTTTTAAGAAATAAATAAAATGGATATATTTTAAAAAAATTAAATTATAACAATTTTTTTGAGATCATCCATATCAAATCTCTCATATTTAAAGAGCTCCCTCTTTTAAAACCACTAATTATAAAATATAATACCCCTATCCCATCTAGTTTTGCTGATGGGAGATTATTTAATCTAGCAAAGATGTTTTTGGTGAAAAAGGAAGTTCTTTGCTGGATGAAAACCTGAGAGAAATCTTAACTTAAAAGTAAATACAAAGTATAGTAATTAAAATTATATAAAAGAATACTTTATTATGTGAAATTATTTTTATATTTCAAGAAAAAATTTGGACATATTTTTGACTAGATAAAAAAAATAGCTAAGCTACATTTAAGATATAATAGCTATAGCGCATATTTTTAGAAAGTAGCTAATTAGTAGAGAAGCTACTTTTTTGTAGTTATAGTGCGCTATTTTTTTTTCTAAGCAGCGCTAACATCATTTAACCATATCCTAACCGAACCAAAATGAATTTGCTCAAAAAAAACCGAAATGGACAAAACTTTTATAAATTTTATACTAAAAAACGAAACGAAACTGGACCGCTATACTTAACGGTTTGAGATCCTAAAGGCGAAATTTCATGTATTATGATTATTACCGTAAAACGAGATCATTAAACATGCGGTAAGTTACATAATTATAACAGATTGTCTAAAACACAATCTTGTGCATTTTATTTATTTTTAGGAAAATTAATTCTAATTTTGAAAGAAAAATTTGATCAGGTTTGAAATTATTTTCGATGGATCTGTTGCTCAGTAAAAAAGCCGCTTCTACATCCATGAGTCAATAATAGAATCAGGGCTGAATGTCCTTTCTTCGCAATTACATGCCAAAACTCCTTGCAAGTCCATATGAAAATCAAATACTAACACTTATGGATTTATATAATTATGCGAGAAATAATATTAAAAGGATTTACTATATTATTTGTCAGCAACTAAATATGTAAGTTTGGAAGCAGGAAAAATAGCTTAATTTTAAAAGCAAAACTTATTAACGAAAACAAAAATTTTATGCTTTTGTTCCCACAGGATAAAAAATTTTTTACTCAAATTCTTTAAATAATATGATATTAATTAATTATTTAAAGATTTCACAATGATTTTTATTAAATATATTTATAGCACAAAGCCCATAGATTTTAGGATCGGGGTAGACAAATTGCCCATATTTTTACGGGCCATGGCGAAGTTTTGAAAATTGAATGCGGATAAATAGGCAAATATGTCGTTATTTTCGTATAAAATTATTATGGGCTGAGCAAGACAACTTGTATACAATTAAGGAATGCGATGAAAAACCAAAAATTTTCAAGGGCAGTTTCAGGCCAGGCCGACCTCTAATAAACTATGATCGTACAAATCTTTTTTTAATTAGAAAGGATTAAGGGCTGGAATGAAAACCCCGAAAATTTACAAAAGAAGCTCAGGCCACGACCTCGTATGATCGTACAAAAAAAATTTTAAAAATTGAAGGGGGTTGGATTTTCAGTTGATCTGATAAGAGATTCAACATATGGAATGAAGAAATGTCCCCATGACTAGAACACTAAATCATGGTTCAAGGTTTATATAATTAAACTCTCAAGCAAAAATTTTAATTTAAAAAAAATGTCAAGAATTCCGTAGAAATATTTCTGATAATTTCGTTATAACAAACAATAAGCCTATTTATTTTAAATATAAAATAAAAAACAAGGCTTTAATTTTTGGTTTAGGCAGGAACCCGAACCGTTATGTATAAAGAATACGGTTCGGTTCAGGGGAGAAAAATTATAAAGGCTCTTATCGGATACGGTTCAGTTGCTTAAAATTATTAAGGTTAGGGTTTGGTTAAGGTTTTTAAAAAAATATAAAGGTTTTTCCAGGTTTTATAATATTTATTAAAATTTAAAAAATTTTAATAAAAAACAGAAAGATACACAAAAACATATATAATTTCATTAAGATAATGCACAATGATTTACATTTATGAATAAAATAAATATGAAAAAATAAAAGATTAACGGAAAATTTGAAAAAATCACCATTATAAAATTAATGGAAATTCCCTAGGGAAAAGTAAAGAACAAATTATCTAATATTATGGTGGAAGTTATAATTTAAATATATAAAACAAAACCGGTTCAAAAAATTATAAAGGTTCGGTTCGCTCATTTTAATGTTTTAGAAGTTTCAGAAAATTATTAAGGTTCGTTCTGGTATAAGGCTCAGTTCGCTCTGGGTCCCTGGTTTTATAATATGAAATTGATCCATTGAAAATTTGAATGCATAAGTCTTTTTTAGCATTAGTAAAAAAAATAGACGTGATAAAAGATAATTATAATCTCATAATTTTGAAATTGTCATTTCAGACCTATCCTAGATTTACCAGAAATAAATAAACAAAAATATAACTTTTAAAAAAACTACCTTGCAATTTTTCCACCAATATTTTCTCTTTAATTTTCCCGCGTTCGTTTCGAATTGTGAGGCACCTTGTTGAAGGGCATCTTTATATTTATTTTAAAAAAATATTAACTAGAACATATATGTATAACCTGCTCTATTGTCGAGTTCTGATAATTTTTGATCCCTCTCTAAAACTTTATCAACGTTAACTCGCATTATATCCACAACCTATATTAAGAAGAAAGAATATAAAATTGTGATTCCTAAAATATGTAATAATTTAAAAAATCATTCAAAATATTTATATCAGCAATCACACATCAAGCTGTTCCAGGTAGTTTCTACATTGGAATCTTAGGTAGGGGGTAGTTTTATTTTAAGAGAATGTTTGATGCAATGGCATCACAGGATAAAAATTGTATTTAAATTATTTCCTTATATAGAATATTTGAATTCCCCTCTTCCTTTTCAAAATAGATTGAAATATTATAGACAATGACCAATACATCGCGAAAAAATATGTCTGCCTTTGGCATTAAAAGTAAAATAGATGCTTAAGTTAAAATAAATATTTATATTTCTTAAATGTAAAGAGAGAAAAAACTAAGCCTTATTATGAGCTAAGAAGGGTCGGGGGTGTAGTAGTTAAACGGCTAATCCGATATTTTAGTTGAAAAATTAGGCAAGCTTCGAGATTTCGTTAATATGATCTCCAGACTAAAATTTTTGGCTAAAATATCGAGTTATCTGTTTATTATTAAATTAATTAAGAATACAGAAAATATATAAAATATTTGTAGATATAGATATCGCATTTAAATGAAAAATAAGAGCAAACAAAATTTTAAAAAATTGCAATGCGTATTATGAGGAAAGGAAAGATTAAGAGGAATAAGAGGGTTTCAAAATAACACTTGTAATTCATTCTTAGAATCTCTAATTGAGTATTTTTTAGAAAGGGCGAATCGTATTTCCCCAATTTGCCTAATAATTTTAAAAATTTTAGGGATTGGGAGCGGGATTACGAGACCTATATTTATACGATTTTTAAACCTCTCGGCGTTCCAGGTTCAGAATTCCAATTAGAAGGGAATGAGGTAACGCATGACCACCTAAGACTAGCCTTTACCGCCGTGTGTGTCAAAACGTTAGAAACATTCCAATAGGACGCTTCCCAACCTCAAATAAATGGCTTAAAGATTCCAAACTATTGAAAAATCTATGGAAATCAAACATTTGCCAATAAACCTATTAATTGTTGGGCCGGTAAAAGCAGTCGGTAGAGAATCAGTGATTATCAAAATAGTCTACCATGCAGCAAATAGAAGGAATAAGACAACCTAACCTATGGCTAATGACAATTTTAAACTCGTCATTCGTGAGTAACATTTCCTTTTTCCTACTCGTAATCGCGTTAAGCCATAATTTTTTTACGTTTTTATATCTACAAAAATACGAATCGAATATTTGCATTTCGATTCGTATCGAATAACTCTTTATTTGTATACGTACAAATAATAACAATATTATTTGATTCGACGAATATTCGATTCAAAACTTAACTATAAAAAAACTCAAAAATGAAAAAATCATATTTTTTTGAATTCAAAATTTAAAAAGTGATTTATAGATGTGGATAGTGTTGTTAATCGACTAAATTTAGTCGACTAACAGAGGACTAACTAATAGTTTTAGTCGAACAATTCGACTAAAAACTTTAGCGACTAAATTAGTCGATTAATTTGGTCGACTAATTTAGTCGACTAAAACGACTAAAAAAGACTAATTAGTCGACTAAAAAGGACTAATTAGTCGACTAAAAAGGACTAATTTAGTCGACTAAAAGGACTAATTAGTCGACTAAAAACGACTAATAAGTCGACTAAAACGACTAATTTAGTCGACTAATAGAAGATAAACAAAAAGAAGTAAAGTGAGAATTTGTCATTAAAATAACTATATGAGTTATATATAAGTTATTTTTAATATATTTTTTTTTGAATTTCTTTTTCTTTGAAGGAACAGGTTAAAATTTTAAATTGTTATTTTTAAACTATTTTAAAATTATTTTAAAGCAAGGTATAAATATATATTGTAAACATGTTATATTAAAATTTCAGTGAAGATGTACCATAGAAAAGTGACAATTGTCATAATCGTCATTTATAGGTTTTTTTGAAATTTTTTGAAGCAAATGGGTAAAAATATATATATTGTAAACATGTTAAAATAAAATTTAAGCGAAGATGTACCATAGAAAAGTGACAATTGTCATAATTGTCATTTATAGGTTTTTTTGGAATTTTTTGAAGCATATGGGTAAAAATATATATTGTAAACATGTTATATTAAAATTTCAGTGAAGATGTACCATAGAAAAGTGACAATTGTCATAATCGTCATTTATATGTTTTTTTGAAATTTTTTGAAGCAAATGGGTAAAAATATATATTGTAAACATGTAATATTAAAATTTCAGTGAAGATATACCATAGAAAAGTGACAATTGTCATAATCGTCATTTATATGTTTTTTTGAAATTTTTTGAAGCAAATGGGTAAAAATATATATTGTAAACATGTTATATTAAAATTTCAGTGAAGATATACCATAGATTAGTGATAATTCTCATAATCATTATTTTTTTTAACTTTTTTGAAGTAACAGAGTAAAATAAATTGTAAACATGTTAATTTAAAATTTAAATGAGGATGTGACATATGACAATTAATATAATCGTTAATTTTAAGATCTTTAAAATAATTGCTGAAACAAGCTGGGTTTTAGCCTACGCCCTTCCATCTATTTTTAAAAGTGCTGACCGATTTAAAAATTTAAACTTTTATTAGTTATTTAAAATTTATTAGGTAAACATTAAAAAATATATGCTTCATTTTAACATTTTTAATACTAAAGTACCGATTACTGTTTTGGATATTATTGTTGAGAGAAGGTAATTAGATTAAATATACTTTTTGGATTTTTTTGCATATAACTAACATCGACGTGGATAAAAATTTAATTTTACACTTTTTCCCAAAAGCAAAGAAAATTCAATTATAAATGAAGTCAAGATTATATCACACAAAAGAAGGGTGTAAATTACAATTTAAAGGATTCAATATATATATATTTAACTATCAATTGATTTTTTTAAACTTATAAATGTTTAAAATAAATAAAATATCTTTGAAAACCTAGAAAATAAATTATACAAAAATATCTTTTTCAATATTGATATTTGAGGTTCAAAATCAAACCTAGATAAGAGTGATTATGATCGATCATCGGAATTATCTGATGATTGCAACTTCTAATTCATTTTTTTTATTCTTAATCCGGTATCTGGTTTCACGTGAAAATTGATATACGACTTAATTCAATAAATAACCATACCATACCTTAATTTTAGAAAAATGATTTTTCAAAAAAATAAAATTTAATTTAAAAAATAGTATATTCTGAAATTTTCATATAATTTTCCTTATTTTTATAAGTTGTTTTGTTTATTTATTTGCCTAAATTAAATAATTCATCACATTTTGAGATTTTATTTCTTATTTTAAATAATTTTACGCCTATCTGGCGCCATTAATTTTTTGTATATTTATTAATTTAATATTATTATTATTAAATAGCCAATATCTCCCCCGACTCTCTCTCTCTCTTTCCCATTATTATTTTAAATTTTTATTTGTATATTCTTTTCAAAATTTTTTTGCTAAATTCTATAATGTCTTTTTCAAACTTAAATTCTCAAGAGGTAAATTAATTTTTTATAAATAAATTAAGGAACCAAATGTTTTATAATAAAAAGACCTTATCTAGATACTTGGAGGTAGAGAAGAATAGTCTTATAATTAGTTCTCAACAGGAAGAGAATGATGTAATATTTTTTATATATATAATTTATATTAGTATACCCATTAGAGTTGTTATTACAATGTAGAAGAAAATAGACAGGAAATCATAAGCAATGAAGAAATCTATATTCGCGAGTTTGACCCAGATTCAGATGTAATATTTATATTTCGATAGTTTAAAATTTCAATAATATTAAATGTAATTAGTTGCAGTTATATTTCAAAAACTAGTTACATAATAAGTTACTTTATACAACATTCATCGCATATATTTAACATAAAAATTTGGATATAATAATTATAATCAATTATTTGAAAAAAATATACAATTTATTTATATAAAAAAATAATTAAACCGAAAAAAATATCGGACCCTAAATCTCCGGGTATACAGGCCAGGACGTATTTTAATTTTTTTTAAAATATACTCAGGCAGGGCCTGAAATTTTTTTTAAAAAAAATACTTGTGCCAGGCAGTATACTTTAAAACCAAATATTTGAAATAGCCATTATTAGCTATAAAAATCAAAAATAAATATGATATATTTTTAAAATGTCCGAACCAGACCTGATAGTAAGTAATTAATTTAGTAGTTTATTCAAAAATAATTAAGTCTTTGTCGTTTTCATAATTATGTTCTATGATTTAATTTAGCAAAATTAAAAAAAAACATTAATAAAATTATTTTAGCATATCCTTTATCCTTAATATTCTTTACATAACATGACCCTTTTTAAGAAACCCCTTTTTTATAAATAAATATTCTCTTCGCATAATTATATCCAATTTTAAACTCGTGAATATATTCTTCCCTTTAGAACCAACTCATTTTTTTATTATTTTCTCCTTCGCGTCTGATTTGTTATTTCAACCCATTAGTATTCACCTCATTCCTTTTTTGTGGCTATATTCAATGTATATTTAAAAAAAAATCAAATCTCTCCCCCTCTAAAGCTTTATTTAAAAATATTTTTTTAGTTTTTCTAGCGCTTGCTACTTCCCTTTTTATTTATATTCAACGCTTTCGTCGCTACATTATTTTTGAACACTTTAATTAAAAATTCTCGCTCTCGTTAAAACTTTGGCTTCTACCAAATTAATTCATTTTAGAGCACCATTATGCCGTTCTCTTTATTTATCACCGCACTATTCCATGAAATCTCCAAATATTTGTCTCGCAAGATGATTTTGAATATTTTATACCCCACAAAGTACAACTCATTTCTAATCTAGAAACTAATCATTTCACTCTTATTACATCCCTCGTCGTTTTTTAAACCAAAATTTATTATCTCTTCACACATTGGTCACAAACAAAATTGTTTATCTCTGCAAAAAATTATACATTCATATAAATTGAAATC